GTTATTCATCTTTATTCAATAGGTGCCAAGTACATAGTAGGAATTCAATAAAGATTTGTACCTGAGTAAATGGAATCGCATTAAATGAAAAGTAGCCTGGGGAGTGATTGATTAATAAGTGGGAAAAGGGAGAGTTCGAGTTCAGACTCTTGGCATCCTAGTTGGAGCCTGTACTTTTCAATCATTTGGTTACAAAGTAGGGTCTAATTTAAAAATAAATAAATAATATTATATGTAATATAAATAATACATAAGCACATACTAATTATGTATAATATATATTTTATATGATGTATATTACTTATATATTAGAAATACATGTATTATACATATGCACACGTGCACAATATTCAAGGACTAAAATGCATGTTATTTAATGGCCATTTTTTAAACTTCCATTTTTGCAAGTGGTCCAGATCTGAAGATTTATCCTCCTCTTTGACTGGAAATAGAAAATTCCTTAGCCTCTTGCTATACCACCATGGGTCTTTCAACCTTCCCCTGGAGATGGTGAGGAATAAACCTAGATTAAGCAGCAGTCCGATCTTGTGGTCCCACAATATGAGGGCCCACTGGGGAGGGTCAGCAATTGTAAAGGACTTTCTGGTGATTTTTTTTTTCTTCACAAAACATACAACCTAAGATGGTCACAGGGTGAGGGGCTTGATGAGCCTACTCTATAATTTGTATTCTGTCTTCTTCAAAACAAAAGTTAATAGCCTGACTGATTTATTCATTAAATAAAGGTTCACACTGATGGTCTCCAGTGACTCATTCCCCAACCTCTCTCACTGAGATTGTACATTCTCTGGAAAAGGGATGGTCTCCTTTAGAACTAGCACCTAGCCATGCATTGGGTGCTACAGTATTAAGTGAGCCCTCAGTGAGGATGGGAGAATCAGGGATTCTTATCCATTTGGGGGGGGGTGCGGGGTCCATTGATAGGGCAAGAGGGAGGGCAATTTTGCAATATCCAACAGAAACTGTATCAGGAAGTTCACTTCTAAAATTTAGCCTACAGATATCCTCATACATACATGAAATGCCGTATGTCCAAGCTTACTCACTATAGCAACTTCAGTAAAGGCAGAAGATTGGAAAATGCTGAAATGTTCATCAATAAGGATGGGTTGAGAAAATTATGGTACAGCCATAGAATGTGATACTAAGCAATTGTGAAAAAGAATGAGGATGTTCTTTAGATAGAGGCTCTAAGGTTTAGTGGTTAAAAGCAGATACTCTTAAGTCAGACTGCTTGGGTTCAAGTCCTGGCTCCACCAATTATTAGATGTGTGACCTTCAACTAGGCATTTATCTTCTTGGACCTCAATTTTCTCACCTATGAAAATAAAGATTATGAGGATTATAATGGCATCTACCTGATAGGATTGCTGTGAGGATTAAAGAAGTTAATGAATACAAAGTGTTTAGAGTGTTGGTATATGAGGTATGGGAGCCAAGATATAATGAGCGATTAAAGTAAGGCGTGGAACAGTGAAGAGTAGACTACCATTTGTGTAAAAATGGATGGAAATAAGACTGCATACACCTCGCTCTCTGTTTTTGCCTAGAATATTTTTGGATAAATAAAAGAGAACTATCACATAAGTTTGTTTTTAGAAGGTGGAACCGGGTGTTTGGAGGCCAGATTGAAAGAAGAGTTTTCATTTTATTTACTTTTGGAGTTTGAGCCATGAAAATTATTACCTAGCTCAAAAATAAATTAATTGAGAATTATACACACAGTGTTGTTCTTTTTTTAAACTGAGGTGTAAGTCACCTCACATAACATTTTAAAGTAAACAATTAAAATACATTGGATTTTATCTAAAACCAAGAGCCATCTTGGTTTTAATAAGATGTCATCTTCTGTCCCTGTTTGTCTTGGCATTGGTCCCCAAATCACCCCAGCCATCAAGAACTACTCCCAATGCCACTACCCCTTTGACATATTCTTTAAAGACTATTGGAACCAATTCCAAATTCCCAAGCTTCCAGAATCTGTGTGCTGCTTTGGCCTGTGAACTTCAGTGTCTGGGAATCATTGCAAAAGGCCCACACTTCTGTCTTCTTCCCTAGAGCTATTTCAGGAGCGTCTTGTGGCCAGAAGAGGCCCTCCTGTGCGTTCTGATACTCCCTACGGTACTGTCCGCAGCGCTTTGAGATTAAATGGATGGAAAAATCTTCAGAACCTGACAGGACCACTGAACATTCCTGAGCCCTAGGAGCTCTGGGACAAGGAAACTGTGCCCTCTACAGGACTATTTAAAAGATAGTGAGTGAGGAAGGTACAGGTTTCCTCTGCGACCCGAAAGTTCTCTTTATACCACTTGGCTTTTCCAAAAAGCCTAAATTAGTACCTGTTTTCAATGACTGAAAGAAACCCTAGAGAATTTTCACTTTTATGAATTGGTAATTGCTTCTTTGCTTTGTCATTTCAGCTTGGAATAGGTTTCCTAGAACAATCCACTTTCAGAGAGCAGGGGGAAACCTGTCTCAACACTGGTTGGGGTATTCCATCAGTTTGGGCACAGGTTTAAGGAATATGATAAAGGAGGCCAGGCCCAGTCCTTCCATGTCCTCCTTCACCAGGCTTCCTCTGGGCATACTTACTGTATCATCTACAACCACAAGGATCATGCAGTCAGAACTTGGCTTGTGACACCCCTGGAGGCTGCAGAACTACTCCCAGAGCTAGAGAAAGTTCACTTTGAAGAGCTGGGAGTAGGAGTGGGGATGGAGTATCACAAGGCCCAAGGAAGTAAAATATTTCACCCAAGATCACACTGCTGGTCAGTGCCGCTGTGGTACTCATTTCTGTAACACAATCTGATTTCTGAACATGAATCTAAGCCACAGCAGCCTGATGCAGGCAACTTAATCTGGTTATTTCTGAGCTTTATCTTTATCACTTCATCTTCTAGGACTCTCTGGGCTGAATTAAAGGTTCTAGGATGCCCAAAGCCCCAGGCAGGCCTGACCTGGTCTCATTGCTTATCCTGTGTTCTTGGCAGGAAAGGTTCAGAGGGTGCCAATTTGGGCCTGCAGTCGCTCCACTCTGCCCCTGTGCAGCTGGCTGGCACAGTGATTCCTCAGAGATGCAGCTAAGTCCTCATCCCTGGGGTGGTAGTGCCCTATCCTTGAATGGCTGTGCCCATTTCCTCTGCCCAGCAGCCTCCCAGCAGCACCTTGGCTCTTAATTACTTTCTAGGTCTCAGTTGGGGGCCATGGAATACCGTGGGTCATTTCTCAACCCCTTGGGAGACACAGAAGAGTCAAGGGGCTCCTGCCTCTGGAAAGCCCATACCACCCCTCTACTCTATAGCTGTGGGCAAGGGAGGAGAGAGCATCAGCAGAGCCAGTACACTGCAAAAGGCCCAAAAAGGGGTGCCAGCAGGGCAGGGTAAGTGCAGAGCCACAACCTGCTTCTTATTCTCCAGAGGGGAGGTGCTTTTGTGTGTGGAGGAGGGAAGGTGCTGTTGAGGCCCAAGAAATGTGTGTATGTGTTGGGAAGGAGGAAGAAGGATGTAGCAGGCAGAGAAATCTGTTATTCTGGTTGGCTTTCTTTCAAATTTCTCTTGACTCATTCCAGGATAACAGAAGTCAGTATCTCGCATCTGACTCAGAAATGATCTCCAGGAGAGGAATGAAAAAAGCTTGTTGATATCTCAAATACATACAGACTGTCACAGTTTAATGCTTTCCATGTCATCCAATCACATAAAGGCTGTATATCAGAAAATAATGTACTATTCCTTCTGGAACTTTAACTACAATCAAAGCATTAAGTTCAGATATTAGAACTTCCAGTACTACAGAGGGACCTGGCATCCCGGCTGTTTATTCTGATTTGAAGGAGGATGGCACCGAATTCTCTCTCCCAAGTTCTGCCCAGGGTTGAATAGGCTTGGAGATCTGGAAGAACAAGAGGTCATCTCTTTTCCACAGATGAGGGCCACTAGTGTTTGGAGTGTAATGAACTTAGAAGGAAGCTGTTGCTGTCGTAAGGGCAGAGAGAATCTTCTCAAATAAAAATGAGCCAAGGGTAGGTCCCCACTGGATATTTGATCTCTTAAAAATTCAGTCAGGCCTGTTTCAAATTTGGCTAACCCATTCCTGTCACTGAACACCTCAAAGGTTTATTGTTCAGGTGGCTGTTAAAGAACACAAAGATTGTAAAAGGCCCACTGTTTTGTTTGAAATAGTCATTTGTTCCAAAATATAATCAAAATTGCTTTTTGAAATTTTTTTGTCCAAAGATGAAAAGAGAATATAAGGAATAGAAACGGCTGAGCTGCAACTATCTCAACATTTTTTAGAGTAACTTTTCTGCTTGATCACCGTTAACGATCAGCCACTTCCCCACTTCCCTCCAGGACACTGGCGTCTGTTCACCATTTATTCACCTGGTCTCTAGAAGGAATTCTGAGGGTAGCCAAGTAAAGCCCCAAGCAAGGGGGCTCAGACACCCAAATATCTTACTCAGGTTTAAGAAGTCTGAAAACAAGTTTTACAGCTCAGCTGAACTGGGGGCCCAGAATGGGAAAAAAATTCTTTCTCCAGCCTCACTTAAGACATCAACCTAAGATAAAATATTGAGACACTTTATTTGGAACCATATAAGGTCAGAGAAGTAATCGATTTATTTTTAGAAAGGTTTCTCTGCTCTACTTTTCCCCTAATTTCCTCATATGCCAGGGTAACACTTTCCCAATCCTAAAGGCAAGTCAGAAAAGCACCCGACATAGGCCTATTTAAGGCTGACCAGAGGAAGGACATGCACTACTGGAGAGGTGAGAGCAAGGGCTTGGCCCTGGGGGTTACACTAAAGTTTCTAGTACAGGGAGTGGCCAGAGTCCAGGCTGGAAGAATAGGGTGGAGCAACAGTTTATGGGGCCCTGAGTGCCATGCTAAGGACTTTGGAATTTATCTTTATGCATGTGGGTGTACTGGAGGGTTTTATACCTTTTCCTTTTCAAAGAATTATTATGTAGAAATTATTTAAGAATTATTAAGTAATTTATTACATAGTGAAAGTTATTATAGAAACATGGAGATTAGCAAACCTCCTAATCAAATAGAAATAAAAGCTCCAAACTGAACAAGACATAATTGTATTATACAGGGGTAACCACTGGAAACATTTTGGGATAATACTTTTACACATGGTTTTACAATCTTTTTCATTAAACATTATAAATTTTTTCCTGTATTATTCTTACATAGTTATTTTCAACTTTTTTCCTAACATTCCTAAGGGAGCAAACAACGTCTCAAGAGTAATGGGTTGAATAGTGGTTTTTAAGAAGGGAGCACTCCCCCCTTAAGTCACTAGTCTATGTCGTTTAGATGGTTGAGCTGTTTAATTAAAATACTTCCTGAATATTTCAATTGCTTCTAATTTACACACTTGCCAGTAATTCTTAAGTAAATATATTTGAATTTATTGTTTTGCATACTTACTTGATTAAGATAAATTATTTAAAGTTTAGTTGCTGGGTCAAAGACTTGCTCTATTTGCATTAAACAAAACATAGTAATGCAGATATCAACTGAGCTAGTGCTCCTTGCCTTTGCCTTTAAGATCTTGGTATTACTAGCTCAGACTTTAATATATTCTCTCTTTATATTCTTTGTCAATCTGGTTGACAAAAAAGCCTATTACCTTTTATTTCCTTGTCATTTGATTACTAGGTTGAAAATTTGTTTTCGTATCGCTATTAGCTATTTATATTTTTGAGAATGAATACCTATGCACATTGCTCACTTATCCACTTATCCTTTTAAAGAAAGTTTCTATTTTACCAAAGTATTTCATGTTCATTGTCACATGGAACAACCTCCAAAACTCCAAGATACATTAAATGAAAAAAAGGCAAGGAGCAGACCAATATGCACAGTATGCAGCCGTTTGTATAGAGAGTGAACAGGTGCACACATTCATGCTGTATATGAACAGAGCACGTGTGAAGGATATACAAACACGTGTGAAGGATATGCATAACACTGACTGCTCTGGGAAAAAGGCAAGGCAGAAGACATTTATACCATATATTCCTTTGCAGAACCGTCAATTCAAGTAAGTACCTATGCGAAAGCCATCTTTAATGCAAATTTTCAGGCCCTTCTCAATCAGAATCTTTGGAATTAGGGCTTAGAAATTTTAATTTTTAGAATGTTCCCCAGACTGCTCTCATGAACAAATCTGAGACTACTGCTATGCCTTAAAAGACTATGAAATTTGCTTATTGGGAAATTTTTAAAAACTAGAGTTTTGTCAAATTCCGCATTTAAAAAATGGTGGATTCATTAAAGGAATTATTTATAAGAAATTCATATTGACAACATTATAGCATTACCATGCAAAAGATTTATGCTTTTTGTCAATTAAAGGAGAAAAAAAGATTTAAAACACCAAGGCCTTAAAAGTCAGCTCTTATTATGCTGTTACATAATTTTTCATTTTTAATTCTAGTTTATTCAAAGAAACAGAAACTACAGTGGTAAAGGCAAAGAAAGTTCTAATTTGGAATGCATGATATAACTGAGGGTGAAGGAGAGGACTCAACTTGTTTTACTTGGGTTACCATTAAATTATTGTAACCTAAGCATGCACAGGTAACAAGGAAAGCCAGCTTGAGAGAGTAACTGGTAAGGAAATTAGCTGCCATACAATTGGATGAGAATGTATTGTCAGGGTAATAACCAATGAGTTTCGACTAGAAAGTGTATTTTAAAAAAACTGTCAAACATAGTAATGAATAGTCCATCCAAGTTATTTCACATAAGATGATTAATGTGATATGAAAACCATGCAACAAATAATACTGATATAATTATTTTAGTAAAAATTTAAATGGTACCCATTATGTATCTGGATGAAGATACCCACACTAAATGCAAAATTGTGAAATGCACTGCAAACTTTTTAAAACATCAATTGCAAGATGAAGGCAGCAGCTTGGCAAACTTTGAAACCTGACTCCCAATTTCAACTATCACTTAAATTGATGTAGAGTAGCCGATTGAGGCTTCAATTTCCTCATCTGGAAAATAAGAAATATAACACCTTCATTTATTCTTATGTTTTAAACTGAAAACGTGAAAACACCCAGGACAATGTCTTATCATTAGTGTGTGGCATCAGTTCTTTTCTTCTCTCTTAAGAGAACTGTGGGAAACAAAATTCCCAAATTTAATTGGGTGATTTATTTTTCTAAAGAGTAAAATGAGATGCATAAAGAATAAAATTTACAAAAAAGGAAAAAAAAATAGCTTGCCCGTTACATAGATAGTAAGTGGCCAGACTAGGAGAAAAGCCCATCTCCTGCTCTGGTTCGCCAGTGACCATCTGTAAGTCCGGGGAAAGATTCTGACCCAAGGAAGAAACTGAACCAGCATGTTAATGAATTACAACATTTTCTGTAAATTATGTGCTCAGGCAATGAACATTTGTCAGAAATAGCAAGATTTAAGTATCCAATAAATCTGAATATGATTTTACTGAAGCCTAAGTAATTTCAAAGCAAAAATAGTTTATGTCAATTCTAATATATAATACATGTAAGTCATCATATGAATTTAAGTTTTTATTTGTGTATTTCACTGTAGTGCTGTGACAACAAAGGACATCTGTGTACCAGAGCATACATACATCAACGGTAAGATGTAACTTTTCATTACACCACTGATAGAATATTTAGCTTTTTGTAGGACACATAAGCATGTAAGATGGCCACACCAAATCATTTTGTTTTCCTTAATCTTAATTTTTATCAGTAATACTTTATCAACCTCACTGTTAATAGAACTGTAAAGTATCTGGGTGATGGGATATGGGGGTGGAGCAGGAATCATTCAATTGTGTTATACTGTAATAGTCGCTAGAGTACTCTCACACACACCAATAAGGAACTGTCATCATAATTAAGGGCTAGTTACTGTTGTTAGTTGCACAATGATAAAGTTCTTTTGAAAATATTGGTTAGCCCACTTATATGAAAAATGTCCTTTCCACTTATGCAGAAGAAAAAAATATTCAGAAAGTTATTTTTGGCCTTGCTATGTCAAAAAGTCAACTGTACAAAGATCCATGTGTCAAACCTAAAATTATAATTTTAAAAGTCTATTAAAAACAAAAATGTCATGCATTTTTATTATCAATAATGCAGAAGCTTTAAAACTGTTGCAAGACCATATAGTATATATTAGCTTTTATACTGCTAATGCACAACTAACAGCAAACTTGATTAGATTACCAGAGATCTTTCTTAATTACACCTTTATATATCACACTAGAGAGACAAATGCCACAAGATCTGCAGAAGCATTCAGTTCTGAGCACTTAAATGGCAGGATAACTTTTTGTGTTGTAATCCATCACATATAGAATAACAAAACAAAAGGAAAAAATTCTGCAGTTTCACGTTACAAAAAACTGCTGTAAAATATTAAGAAGGGGTAAAGGATATGATCTGTAACACAAAATAACTAGTGTCAAAGAACAAACAAACCCTCTAAATAAAAATATCAAAATACACAGCAACTGAAGCACAAATACTGCATTAAATACAGTAAAGATTTAATAAGACTAGTTAATAAAAGACACAAAAATAGGGAGAGCTAGGGCAACCAGTAATAAAAACAAAATAAAGGGAAAAAACCTGAACCACAGTTTTTCCCCTAGTTGGAGCACAGGTTTTTGTGGGGCAAAGATTGGCGGGGGAGGGGAGGGGGGGTGGTCTTTCCATTCATATAATACCTAACACTGTACATTAAGATTTTAATGTCATAGAAAAACTTGGTTCTTCTATGAAATTCATAAATTTTCTGAAGTAGACATTATTGTGAATGAAAAACAGCCAACAAATGGGGCACCTGTTGTTTAACACTGAAGATTTACAGAAACTTTTTAAAAGTTATCATAATCTTTTTTGTCTTTTTTCCCTTCAGCTTCAAACCCATCAACTCCATCGCTATCCCTTCTTCGTTTCCTATTGTTGTGGATGTTAAAACGTTGGCTCATTTGGGGTAATGGATCCATGCCTAGAACTTTGTGTATCTGGCGGAATGCAAGGAGTCTCAAAGCAAACTGCAACAACAACAAAAAAGAATTGTTAATTTAAAACACCAAAATATTAATTTTTAGGTTTATATCCCCATTTAACTATATATAAAAAAGCAAAAAGCATGTTTAATGAAAGAAACACCTTGAACATATTAATCTCACAACTTAAATACTCCATATGTTCTGGTGCTTTTATGTTCAGGCTTTTCTGTGTGAGTGCTATTTCATTTTTTAAAATATAAGTTAAAAAATAAATCTTAAAAAAAATGTAGTGTTATGTTCATTAAAAAAGAAATCCTGAAATAATATACAGCAAAAGAAAAAGTGTCTCATTTATTGAGTGAACCCCTCTTTGGCTCATATTCACAAATTTTCCCACTTTTTCTGGGGCTGCGCATGTGTGCAGGTTCAGCATTGGCTGCAGATGGGCATGCATGCGTATGAACACACATACTTTCCCAGGTTTACAAACAGAAGAGCAGCATACTTCTTCAACTTGTTACTTTAAGAACTAAAAAAAAGGTTTTTATTACATGATTATATACACATACAGGAATAATGTAGGCATCAATGTCATAAAACTATAAAATCTTGAAACTAAAGGAACTTATGAGATATAACTTAATCTACTCTTTAAATTTCTACCCCTTAAATTCAAGATTTTTATAATATTTGATTAAATGGCAACTTCCACTATGTCATTATAACCTTCAATGTAATTAATTTAGACTATTTTTAATATAATTCACATATCCTAAGATTCAGTTTTAAAGTGTACAATTCAGTTTTTTAGTATACTTAAAAAGTTGTTCAACCATAACCACTCTAATTCTAGAACCTTTTTCATCACCCTAAAGAAATCTCATGGCCTAATAGTAGTCTTCCTTGACACATCTACCCCTAGGCCCTAAAAACCACTCATCTACTTTTCTGCTTCTATAGATTTGTCTACTACAGACATCTCACATAACTGAAATCATACACATATGTTTTTTTGGGTCTGGTTTCTTTCACTTAGCCTAAGGTTTTCAAGGTTCATCCATGCCTACATTAAGGCATGTATATATGCACCTGTTATACATGCATTCATGTATGTGTGTGTATAGCTGCATGCAATTTTATCACATGTGCAGCCTTGTGTAACCACCACCACAATCAAGACATTAAACCATACCATCATCACAAGACTCTCCCCTTTATAGCCATAGCTATCTCCTCTCTGATCCCTAAGGCACAGGAACCATTAATTTGTTCTCCATCTCTATAATTATGTTATTTCAGGAATGTTACATAAATGAAATAATGCAGTATGTAACTACTTCACTTTTAACAAGGACATTTCTAAATACCTCCCAAAACCAGGTCACTTTCTTCAAAGTTACATTAAAAAATTGCTTACCTTTCAATTGTGAATTCTATTAGTTTTTGAATGTCTTGCTCCTAACCCTAAATTTCCTTTCTCTTAAATTTTGAGCAACTCCTTCTTTCCAAAGAAGAAAAGCTACTTAGAATAACTATCTTCTTCCCAAGAAAATTAAACCTGAAGACATAAAAGCAAAACTTGTCTAATACACACAAATTGGTAATCTCTAAGATACTCATAATGTTCTATTACCACTGATGCTCCCTTACATATTTTTGACCATTACAATTTATTTTTAATCCTGACATCTTCCAAATTTCAAATTATCCTTGCCAAAAGAGACAACAAATCAAGATCTTAAGCCCAATAACTTCAACTGTCTTAGAGTAGATTATCATTGTTCATAGTAGCCTTTTCTCCCCTTAATGCATTTCTGGAATCAAAAAAGGAAAGCTATAGCAGTTTTAGATTTATTATTTTTTTCATTCATTCATTAGGTTTACCTATTCTTTCTTTCCCATAGTTCTTCTCCTAATAGGATTGGTAACTGATAATGATGATAACAGCTAACATTTAAGATCCTTCCATATACCAGGTACTATTATAGTTATACCTATTAACTCATTTAATCCTCCCAACAATCCTGTTTGAGACAAGATACTGTTTGTATCACCATTTTATACATGAGAGGGCAGAGTTGGTATTCAAACCCAGGGAGTCTTGATTCCAGAACCTACACTTTAAATTGCTACATTACATGTCCTTTCCAATGGCAGGAGAGGCTAAATTATAATAATAATTACCATAAACCATATAGCACATCACTTCTGTACAGAGAACATAGTCTCTCTACTGATCTTAGCATATAATCTAAAATCCAGATTAATGAAACATGGCAGATACTGATGATTTCTGTATCTACATAATATACTTAGACACATAGTTAATAAAATTTGATTATAATAATGAAATCTAGTTTTAAACTACATCCCTTAGAACTCACAAAACAAGCAAAAGAATGAACAGTATATAGCAATTTCTTCTAAAGAGCAATTATATAAAAACAAAACCATACAGACAATGACCCAAAAAACTTTTGAAATTAGGAACACAATGGTACCTGTGCACTGGATGTGATGTCTTCACGCTGCTGGTCAGTCATTGTTGCCAAGGTATCAAAGGGATCCTTCTCACAAGGATCCAGAAGTCCAGGACTACCTACAGCAATCACCACAGAGAGAAAAAAGCATTAGCATTATTCATTTGTAGAAGAAAAGAGACCTTACTCAACCATCAAACACACAGACATGAAAAATGAAGTAAAACTTACCTTTAAGGATAATCCCTGAAGAAATGCACTCAAAAACTCTTCTCAGTGCATCACCAGGGCTCTGAGGACTAGAGGCACTACTGATTGCTTTCTCTACTAGTAATTCCATAGCCTAAAAATAAAAACATAAAATACGTGCTGAAGAGCTTACAGACCAAAGAACTTACTCATTTTCAAACACCAGAATGACATACTTGTGAAGTTATTAAAAATTTTAAAAACTGAAAAAGTACATAGAGCAAGTCACAAAACAGAAAATAAAAATCAAATATATAAATAAAAATTAAAGCAATATATATATAAATTTACTCTTTTAAAAGATTTTGCAATTAATGCTCACTGAAGAATGATGTAAAATATATTACTAGGGTTTTTTTTGCTTTTTATTTTTAATTATTGCTGTCCTTCCCTATTAATATATGAAAGTCCTTAAAATTCTTTAGACATTTAGGGTTCACATATTGTTCTTTAGTATCTACTGATCTATACTGATCTTAGTATATAATCTAAAACCCTGATACTAGAGTGTTATAGCAGGTCAGTATTCTAAGACTTCTGTTTTCTCTTTACAAAATGTATTTATTATCTAAATTTCCATTTAATGTCTAAGTGGACATCTATTACCCCAAAGGAAAATACAAATTATGCTTCCACTGTAAATTACATTTGAGAGACTAGAAATCTAAACCAATGAATAAAAGACAAAAACAAAATAAAAATTTAGAAAGCAGATAATTCAGTAAGTGTTTTGAGGGGTTTATTAGAAAAATTTGCTTTCATTTAGATTTTAATAAGGGGACACATAATTCACATGGCAACATTCACTCTTTTAAAATGTACAATTCAGTGGTTTTTTAGTTTGCTTAAGAAGTTATTCAATCATAACCACTATCTAATTCCAGAACATTTTCATCACCCCTGAAAGAAACTCCATATCCATTCATTAACAGTCACTCTCCATTCTCTTTTCCTCCAATGCCTGACAACTACTACTTTCTATTTCTATGGATTTGCCTACTCTGGACATTTCATACAAATGGAACCATATAAAATGTGGCTTTATATGTCTGTCTTTCTTCACTTAGGATGTTTAAGGTTTATCCATGCTGTAAGTATGGGTGAAATTTTGTAAGACTACCCAATAACAAATCAAAGAAACTAAATAGATTGCAACTGCAATGGAATCCTTAAAATGATACTTAAGCTGAAATTACCTTAGTGAGAATCTATTTTTAGTTGTGTACTAAAAAACTTAAAATTTTATCAGAGTTAACTACATCTACCTATTCAACCCATGGACAATACTTAGAACTTCTAAATAAGAATAACTCTAAAAAGTTTGGAAACATGGATATTGTAGCCCCAAACAAATCAGGAACAAATTGTAAGAGAGACGGGAATTTAAAAAGACAATGTACATCATCAGCCATAAAAAATTATAGCTGCAGCCATGAGGGATTGCAAAAAAATGTGAACAGTGGATGTTCATACTGATAAAAAAAATGGCAAATCAAAATGAAGTAAATTACTATGACTCTGTTTATTCAGCTGAAGAATGCAGGAAGGTGTCAGGGTATTTTTTAAGGATTTTTACTTGAAACTTTATTTTAGGGAACCAGCTTCAGTTATCCAGACAACTTTATGAATTTATAATAAATTTCTCTCATTTCCAAACCAAGAATTACTTTAAGATGTCCAACAAACTGAAATCCTTGAGGATAAGGTTAATGTTATTTATTTTGAATCCTTTTTGCCTATTGTAGGTTGCCAGCCTAAAGAAAATACTCAATAAATAAATACTTCTGAAATGGAATACTTTTGAAAAGAGCACGAAAATAATCCTGCTGATGAAAGAAACAAGGGTAATAACTAGAAATATTACGAATGCTGTCAGTAAAATATGCAGCTTGCCATGAATACCCCAAACTTAGAAAAGTACTTTTAGAGATTAAGAAAAAATAACTATTAAATAATCAGCTATAATCTAGGTATGTCCATATATAGAATGCTTCAAGTAATTCAAAGATTTATCAAAATGTGCATATTGATTGACCTTATGTGCACACTTGTAATACTTGCATATAAAGGTAGAAACTAATTAAAAAACAAGAAATGAATTATTTATGGAACATAGTAAGTCAACATACTAAAACACACACAATGAAGCTACATCAACTATCTGCCCTCTGAGATCACTTGCTATGAAGCAAGCAATTAAAAAATATCAATTTTCCATAGAACATGGTTGTTCTCCAAGCAGTTAGGAAAGCAAAGTAGAATACATGTGGTTTATAAACTCTGAAACATACGCATTCAAAAGTAACAGGGCAACACCAAAGATGAACAGAATCAAATTAGAGAAATGACATCTAGGCTGTAACGTAAAGGTTCTTGGGGGTTTAAGTTACTTACAGAGAAAAGCTCTCCATATTAAATGAAATGAAATCTAGGATTGTAATACTGTTTTAAAAAACACTCATGAAGCTTATTTTTCCTTTCCATCTCTGGTATATTAATAAAAATAACGCAGGTAATACTTTCTATAAGCTAAGCACTTGAAATGCATGATCTCATCTAATTCTCATAACTAGATACTATACAGTTTTAAAGATTAAAATGAAAAACTTAAGCTTTTTTTTAAGTAATAAAATTTAATTTAAAAAAAGATTAAATTGCTTGTTCAAGGTCATACAGGTAGAAGATAAAAAGGCTGCAATTTGAACCTAGGCCTGTTTGACTCAAACTTTTTTTTTTAAACCATAACTCTATTTCACTAAGTATCTTTTAATCAATAGGTGCTCCACATAGTTAACACTGAATAAGTTCCTTAGATATAGCTTCTGCCTCTGGCAGAGGTCAAGGGCCCTGTTGAAAAAAAACTCCTTTTGAGATTGCAGTTACACAGGCACTTTCATCCAGTGGGAGGGTAAACCAGTAAAAACCTTTTTAGCGCACAACTGGTAAGCTCAAAGGCATGCACTAATGACCCCAGTAATAGTATTAAAGATTTACAGTAAGTCTATTATACTTAATGAAAGCACAAAAAATATTCAGTGCAGTAGTTTATTTGTAATGGACTGGAAATCTAAGTAACACTAGGAAGTCTGGTTAAATAATAGTAATAGTAGCAGTTGCCCTCTTCACAATTACAACTAACCCTTTCTGAGTACTTACTATATATATTAAGCATTGTTCTAAGCCTTTACATGCAATAACCAATTTTAATCAGAACAATCACCTTTTAGGAGGTAGATATAACTATTACTCCCATTTTACAGAAAAAAATGTTTATGTTATTAAAATAGGATTTTATGAATTTTATGACAATTGTATATAAAGTCATTTCTGTATTCCAGTTGACATTAATATGTCATATTTATACATACATGACAGACTTCCAACATTCCTAAGTCCATCTGCAGGATGCTGTATTTTTATATTTATGCACAGCACCTTACTTCAAACTCGACAATTCTTAATAAAAACTATCAAGTCTTATGGAAAAAAAAGTGTACTCAAAAGCTTTTGTGATGAGAGGACATATGTGGACTGAGTAGACGGTTTTTGTTAGGGGGTAGTTAACTGCTACATTATTATTTTTAAGCTAAGGTGAACGAGATGATACAGTCCAAATTTAATTTGTTGATTCTTTGCAAGCTAAGAGAATGTTAGGTCTTTGTCCTGGGATGTCAGCGCCCTATCATTTAAAAACTCTTCATTAGTTCTAAAAGTGACAGACAAGAACTCTCGTACTACAAGCCACCACCACTAAAACCTAAATTACTCAAATTCTTGAGAAGCCAGTAAAATGCGTGGAAAAAAATGTTGCATCACATATTTCAACCACTATTTGAGCAGAAAGTATAATTATGGCAATTCTGTTGACATCATCTTTGGCAACTATTCTTCTACATTTAATAGATCATTCTTTGAAAAAAAGTAAGTGAAGTAAAATTCACAGATCATAAAATTAATTATTTTAAAGTGACTAATTCAGTGGCATTTAGTCCATTCACTATGTTGTGCAACCACCACCTCTACCTTGTTCAAAACATTTCCATTACTTCAAAGAAAAACTCCTCACCCATTAAAGTAGTTTTTCTCCATTCCCTCCTCCCCTCTCCCTCTGGCAACCATCAATCTGCATTCTGTTTCTATGAAGTGGTCTATTCCGGTATTTCATACAAATGCAATCACATAATGTAGGACCTTTTGTGGTCTGGCTTCCTTCACTTAGCACGTTTTGGAGGTTCATCCACATTGTGATATATTATTATTTTCTGCAAAATATTTCTCATTCTTGTAAGTACTATTCAGAAATAAAATGAACAATCCATGTCAAAAAATTAATGCTATGCTTTCTGTAACTTACAGCAGGCATACCATTCTAAAGAATGTTTGGATACTGCATAGCAATTCGGATGTCAGACCAACCTTGCAAAAGAACTCTACCTTTATTTTCTTGAGTTCATCAACATGGATTCAAGACAGAAGAACTAATTTGAAGGCAGAGTACCAGTTGCAGTACTCACTGCAGTGGTAAAGGAAAAGGTTCAAAGTGGGCATTGTTACCTAAAGATTAATTCAAAGTAATCTGAATACTAAATATGAATAATAAAGTTTTTAAGAATTTTATATTTCATTTAGGAAAAAACAAGAAGAGAAATTACTTTCTGCTTAAGGTGACAGCACAAAGTCAAACCTCAAGATCTCTTGCTTCCAAAACATGATTATGATTAAGAAATATGTTACAACACACACTACCACCACCCAAGCAAAAATGTAACAGCTTCAAACAGAGGAAAAGGTTAGTGAAAAAGCATATCCAAGTTACTATTAAGTGGCTTGGGCAACAATCCATGTAGCTATGAGCTTGGCTCCATAGGAAGATGGGGGTAGAGTTGGCAGTTGAGTGAAAAACATCCAAAATATTTCACCAATATCAGAGAGGTAGAACAAGTCATGCTTCATGTAGTCCCAGGAGAAGAAATTTTCTGAAACATAAAAACCCCTTCTGACCATCTTCCATCTCTCCAGAGAAAGGAAAAGCCACAGAATTCACCATCGTGAAGACTCTCTTGAGGTGAGGAGGGGAAGAGCAGAAGAATCCTA